GTGGTAAAGCTTTCGCACAGCTAGGTTATCTTCAAATTCATAAAAGAAGCCATACTGGAGCAAAACCCTATGAATGGAATCAGTGTGGTGAACCCTTTGCACAGCACATTCATCTACAAAGTCATGAAAGAAGCCATGCTGGAGTTAATACCCTATTAATTTAATAAGTGTGGTAAAGCCTTTGTATGTCACAGTAGTCTCCAAATACATGAAAGAACACATATTGGAGAGAAATCCTTTGAATATAATCAATGTGGTAAAACCTTTGCATGTATAGTGATCTCTGAAAACATAATAGAACCCATACTGGAAAGAAACATTACGTATGTAATTAGTATGCTAAAGGTTTTATCATAGTCATCTTTAAAGACACAAACTAACAAATGCTGGATATAAACTCTATCAATTTATCGAGTGTGGTAAAGCCTTTGCACTTCACAGTACTCTTCAAATGCATAAAAAATCACACACTGGAGATAAACTCTATAAATGTAATCAGTGTGGTAAAGCATTTGCATGTATGCATAATCTAAATCATGAGAAATATCATACTGCATAGAAACCCTGTAAATGCTTTAGTGTGATAAAGTTTTGTACTTTATATAGGAGTAAAACTTTTTATGTGCAACAATCTGTTAAAATCTTTGTATATTACAATAGACATTGACTACCTGAAAAAGATACTGAGGACTTCTTATTATAAAGAATTTGGTAAGATCTTTAGCCAAAACAGTTACAATCAGCTACTCAATGATTTGGGTTTCCCTTCTGTATGCTGTGAGTGTATTTTGTTACCATTGTTTAATAAAGAAGCTGCTTTGGTCCTATGGCAGGGCAGAATAGAGCAAGGCAGGAATTTCAAGCAGAGATTGTAGTGAGGGCTGCGGGCAGGCCTGCTTTTCATCCCACATGGCTCCCGTATGGCTAGCTTAGCCCCAGAAATAACAACACACAAATTGTATTCATTTAAATGCTGTCTGGCCCATTATCTCTAGAGAGTTAGTTACTGACTAACTCTCACATCTTGATTAACCCATTTCTAATAATTTGTGTAGCACCACAAAGTGGTGGCTTACCAGAAAAGATTCAGCATGTCTGACCTGGTAGCTGGCTCCATGGCATCTGCCTCATTGCCTTCTTCCCAGCATTCTGTTCTGTTTACTCCGCCTACCTAATTTTCTGTCCTATCAGAGGACCAAGGCAGTCTCTTTATTAACCAATGGAAATAACACATAGACAGAAGGTCCATCTACATCATTGGGCGCCATCTGTCATAAAGAGCTGCGGGCAGGCCTGCTTTTCATCCTGCCCAGCTCCCACACAGCTAGCTTAGCCCCAGAAATAATAACACATAAGTTGTATTCATTTAAACACTGCCTGGCCCATTATCTCTAGAGAGTTAGTTACTGGATAACTCTCACATCTTGATTAACCCATTTCTAATAATCTGTGTAGCACCATGGCGTCTGCCTCACTGCCCTCTTCCCAGCATTCTTTTCTGTTTACTCCCCCTACCTAATTTTCTGTCCTATCAAAGGGCCAAGGCAGTTTCTTTATTAACCAATGGAAATAACTCATAGACAGGAGGCCCATCTACATCAAGAGATAGAGGAGAAAAGAAAGTGGAGTCAGACTCCATGTATCTGCTGAAGGAGACAGATGCCCTGGAACCTTACTAATAAATCACAAGTCTTGTGACAAAATACAAAATAATAGGAATGGGGTGGTTTAAGATGTCAGTGTTAGTTAACAAGAATCCTGAACCAGTAGGCCAAGCAGTGTTAATTAGTATA